TATTATTATTATTATTATTATTATTATTATTATTATTATTATTATTATTATTATTATTATTATATTTATTTAGTCCAATTATTTATGTTATCCAGGAGGGCGTAATGAAGTCATCATCACTGAAAACAACAATAGCATAACAGAACAAATTACAGATGTTGTCAAGCAACCTGCCTTTATTGCTGGAATTGGTGGTGCTTGCTGGGTTATACTCATGGGTTTCAGTATCTGGCTCTATTGGCGCAGAAAGAAGAGAAAGGGCCTTAGCAATTATGCAGGTAAGAACAATAGTTTACAATAAATATTCAGCAGGAATATATCTAGTTCACAGAATAAGGAGTTGAGTATATTGAATGTTGTTTATTATGCTGTAAAAGAACAAGAATATGAAAAGCTTTAAGTGCATTGCTCTGCATCATATTTCATCATTGCTACCAGAAAGCTGTCTAATATTCACATAATAAGTACATCTGATATAAGAAGCCCAAGAACTTTAGATACACCTTTTTCCCTAAGTGAAAGACAAATTCAGCAGGCTTATTTATTTATCTATTTGCTAAAGTAAAGAAGGATAAAATAAATAAAGCTGAACTGATAAGCTCAGGTTACTAAAGATCAACTCATTATATCATCATTATTTTCAATCATTTAATCATAACCAAATTAATTGATATGGAGACAATATGTCTTTGTTATGTGATTTCACTTTCCACCATAAATGAATAAAAGAGGCTCAGTACATTCAAATCCTGTCCTAATTTGTGTTCATTAAGTCATGATAACTGAGTTAGAGTCTATCTAACTTTGTTTGATAATACTGGATATATTGTAAATAAATATTTACTTACTTCTGATAAAACAGTATAAAACACTGGGGGCATTCAAGTGCATGACACATTTTTCTATTCATGAAAGAAATAAAAATGCATAAGGATAAATTTTGGAATCTCTTCTTGTGTGTTTTTCTATTATTTTGGATAACATAAGGTTTTGCTTCCATGGTATGAAGGCAATGTAAAAATGCCAAAATGTGTACCTTAGAAAGTTGATTTACATTAAAATACTTTTTTTTACATGGGCCCTGTGGACATCAACTTAATCAACTTAGTTCACAACTGAACTGAAATCAGTATAAAGCAAAAGACCTTTAATATCCTTCATGCTGCCTTCTGGATTAAGACTGGTGTGAAGCAAGAATATTAATATTGCATATTCCACTGCAGCTAAATAAGAAGGCTGTGAATTTCTGTACAATTTCAATGACATTATTTTTGAAGAAAAGTATTATTCATGTTCTATTTGAAAAACCCTGGCTGTGTGCTATTCAGATCAGATTTTAGACTTGTTATTTTTTTCTTAATGATTACATACATTGAACATTTATGGTTATAATTTTAAAAGCAATGTTTGGTTTGGAGATTTTTATTTTCCCTTTTCCTTATAATAAATATAGCATTTTCAACTTTCTCTGTTTTTAAGGAAGTAGTTAAATTTTGTTCAAAAATTATATCACTAAGCTCACTGGCAATACTGGTAGCTTTGTTTTATTATCCAGAATGATTAAATAACCATTTTTTACATATTTAAGGGAAGGGTAATAGATTTGCTGCTTTATTTAGACATTTAGAAACATCAGATGTGCTAAATACATACTTCAAATTTCATTATTTAATTGCTTGACATCTCAGCATGTTTCTACAAATAGCTTTGTAACATCTAACAATTTGTAGGTTTACCATATATGGAAAATATATACCCAGAATAAATATCTTTTAAAGGATGCAAAAAAATTGGTTCCTTGCTGGCAAACACATACTTTTAGTCAGCATAAAACCATTATCAAAAACATAACACCTATAGAATTTCTCTTCCAATATTTATGTACATGTTATTAAATCCTGTAACACTTTAAAGTGTGTCATATTGTACACACTTGTATATTTATTGTTAAATGTTGCATTTGCCTGATAATGAAAATTTATAATCAATTACATTTGAAAGCAAAACATAGCATTATATGCTGCCAGCTTGCATGTCCATGTAACTACTTCATATAAATATAAAAAACCCATGCATTTATGATCAATCCTTTATTATGGGCTGCTACTAATGCTTAAATATGAATTGCTATAATTTGAGCTTGATTTTAAAACATGTAAAATTTATTTTTGAAAGACAGCCATGCCCTGTGATTGGCGTTGCTTAAGAGTTTTATAACTCACAATGTATTTTCTTGTTTTGCAGTCCAGTCCTTCACCTTCACCCCTGCAGGTACTGTCCGTTAGTTCTCTTTCCCCAGGACCATACAAATGAATCTATTATAATTATTCAATTTATAAAAGAATTAAAAATTCACATGCAAGAATTAGCATTCTGTCATACAAATGTGGTATTGTACCAGTGATTCTAAAAGAATGCTATGTTATAATATTAATATATCTAGCCTTAAAATACCATGCTCACACTTTCAGCTTTGTTAATTTTTTTATTCTTAATTTTTTTATTTCAAAATAATTTAATAGGTATTGTTTGAAGTGAAAGCAGAAGACAGAGTACAAACGTACAAACTTGTAAAATTTTGAAGTAATTTACATTATAGTTAATTTAGGTGTAATCTATATTATAGTTTCCTTCTTTTGTAGATTTTTTTGAGTTTAATTATATGGCAGATATTATCAAAAATTAACAACCTTAAATCCACCTGGCAGGCAATAACTTATTCTCACACAACCAATTCTAATTAAAAATATTTATAAAATTATAAATATTTTTTAGATTTATGAAATATGTCATACAAATAAAAAGTATTTGTAAAACCAGATTCAAAATGTACTTCCTTATTTTATCAAATCTAACATATAATTGAATGCAATAAAATTATATGAAGCAAAAATAATAGCACATAAAGAACTCTTCCATGGTACATACTGTATGGTCATGGAAAGCAATCAGTATGTTACATCAATAATTATGTTTTAGTAAATGTTTGTTTATGTCTATTTTAAATAAATTCAGAGTATTTGAAGTGAGTGTTCTAAAACACACAGATGAATAGATATAGTATATTTTAAAAGGTTTATCTTTTACTTTTATTTGTTTTAAAGAATCATGCTGAGTTTAAAACATTTGAAACTTACAATTTGATAGAAACAGCCAAAGAGACAGAATCATCAATTACAATAAATCACAGATGATAAATGCAAGCCAACATGGTCTTTAACAACTGACTCATATAGAACTTTCTGTCAAACAAATAGGCTTCTAAAATCTTTTAGCTAGAGAATCTTATATTCTTATGACTTTAGGATCTAAAGCTTCATTAAACATCAGCTTTTCAATTTATAGCCAATAAAGCTGCTGTTGAATTAAAGTAACATGAATTAATGAGCATGTGCTTATCAGGGCCTGTAGCTACATTTTGATCTTATTAAAAGTTCTGGAAATTCTTCACAATTTGGAGAACATGGTCTAATGGCTGACTTCACTAGTTAATTCTATATAATAATATAGAATGCTATTTTAGTACATAGAAGTGAATAACACATTTGTGGTTATTTCATTTGTTTTGAATGCATTTTAATAAGATAATAACATAAGTAGTTACTGAATTATTTTTTATTTAACTTTATAAAAAACTAATTTGCTTATGTCCTTCACTTTTACCAAACCATCTTTTACAGCAGCTTTTTCCATTTCTTCATTTTAAATTTAGCTATTGAGTTGTTTCTGATGTCTCTGAGAGCTCCATCTCTCCCTCCCTCTCCCTCTTTCAGCTTTGATAACTCACTTATATCTTGTTTTACTTATGTCTCTTGCAAACCTCAGCAGGAGATCACAAGTGCTTACTGATAGTGCCCAAAACCTCACAGCATGTGGAAATGTCCAGTGTAAAGATGTTAACAATATGACTCCCTTTAAATAATCCACAATAAAGCATGAAAACATTTGACTGTCTGTGCTAAGGTTTTCTGGTTGCTTGTTTTGAGAAAAAGAAATACAGTTTAGAAACATAACTAGCAGGAAAAATAGTATTACCTGTCATTGCAGTATTATTTATCAGAAAACTCTATTATTTCTTAATGGAAAATAGACTTCTTCAAGATAGATAAATGTCAACTGTTTAAGAAATAATATTGATCAAAAGGACAGGTTTATTTCATTTGGGACAGTTTCAAGATCTAGAATTAGTTCTCTAATTGTAGATATATTCTGTATTCAAATCGAAGTCCACCTCAGAGTTTAATACAAATACATTTTCAATAAGGAAATAATCCCAGTAGGAAAACTGTATACTTGATACCATTCTGAACATTCTAGCCCATAAAACGGAACAGTAGAAAGACCATGGAAATAATATCTGAACCATATTTGTGATATGCTATATTACTGGAATTATTAACTGCACGCAAGCTGAACTAGACAGTTTGCACTGAAAAACAAGAAAATTGATCACTATTCACTATGCATTATATCTCCATAGTGGTATTTATGAATTGTATCTGTCCTGCAGAAGTGGATGCCAGGGTTTATTTCATGTCAAACACATTCTTGGAGGTGTACTAACTGGCTTAGTATATAAAAGAAGGAGAGAAAAATAGAAAAAGATAGAACCTGGAAATTGGTCACAACTGAAAGTAACTGTATACTTACTTTTGCCTGCTCAAGGCCAAGCTGTTCAAACTAATGCAATCAAGGTCAGAATTCAAAAATCATCAAATGATAGTAGTTCATATACTTAGCTCATGCATGAAGATCATGCAAACTGATTATAAACAACAAAATAATACAGTCAACAAAATGATTCATTGGAACTTCTAATCATCTGCCACTAACGAAAAATTGGTAGGAACGTATAGTTTAAAAAGTAGTACTCAGAGACAACAGAATAGAAAAGAAAGAACTGGAAAAGATAAAAAAAATACAAAGAACTACAAATAGAAATAGAATGACTCTGGCAAAATGTAATGCCAACACATCTGTATTACCAGTTAAAAACCATTGGCATTGATAAATCATCACCAGTCAATTGAAAAAGACAGCTTTACTTGGATCAGTTTACATCTTGTAACAGTGCCCTAAATACTGTCAAACAACATATGTCTAACCCAGCTCCTTGGTAAGGACTCGATATGTAGAAAAAAATGACAAATCCAGTTTAAACATTTGATAATTGTGAAATTAATAATAATAAACATCTTGTGATTGTGTAGACCATAATAATAAGCAGTTTACATCATGTGATGATACCTTTGATATTATTAAACTACATCTGCCTACCCAGTGTTCTTGGGAAAGTCTTGGTAGATGTACAAAAATGCCACATCCATACTAACCTCAGAGGCTGACTATGCAACCAACCATAATAATAATACAATTTTCTTCATTCATACATCCAATGTGGTGCTAATCTACTGTTTATCAAAATAGTAGTTTATTTTATATTATATATGACCAAGATGTTCTGCATGAGAAGCCTGACATTTAGTGATTTAGTTCATAAGATTTTTCTTCCTCCCACTTAATGAAAAAGGCAGGCAAACAAAATAATAGCAGAGAAACAAGGATCATAGATAATCAGGTATTAATCAAGAAGATCTTGTCTATAGTGGAGACTCTGTCTTATGGAAATGAAGTTTAACATCTGCTCACATCCAGATTTATGATGTTATATTGGTTGATGTAGAGATCTAATACACATTTAAGTTTTAAAAACTGATTTATCTATCTTTTCAATTTTAGAATACAAAAGTTGTTTTACACTATAAAAACCATAACACAATATATAATGAACATTACAGCAAAATTTGAGCCTCCAAGATTTTACTATACTGCTATATCACAGGCATATTCCAGTTACACAAAATCCTTATGTGTGACACTCAATATTTTTGCAGCTCTTGAAGAAATTAAGTGGGAACACACCTGGTTTATATTTGAATGGGAGTACATTAGAAAATCACTGACTTTTGGATTAAGTTGGGAATGCAGAACAATATTTAATTCACTTGCAAATTATTACCTTCTTCTCGTTCCAGTGTGCCCATCAAGTTATTAAGGGTTTAATTAAAATCATCCCATAGCCGAGATGAAATTATCTTTACCTAAATAAAATTATTGTTCAGCTGGACTGACAAAGAATATGGTATTTCCTTTTTCTGGCTGTTTTGTATCTGTAACATCGAAAACAGAATATAAACATTATGTATTTATCTTTTTATATATGCAATAGATATCTACCAAAACAGGAGTTAATTCCTACAGGTCCTGAATTCATTAATACATCCATTTTCAAGAAATCTGAAAGTGTGTTATGATTATGTCAGTCTGAATTAAAGTGTACATTTTTGTTTACAAACAATAGGTATGCACATTCCTGGAAATTAAAGATTCTGACACAAGTAATAAATTAATTTAAATTCAAAGTAAAAAGGAATTGCTAAATATTAACTAACAGCATACATTAATATAATTTGTTTTGACAGAATCATCCACACAAGTAGAAGTTGTGGTAAAATTTTGGTAAAAATTTCAACACTGATTATCTTTTCTCTATTAAAGAGGATTAGTCTATATTCACATTTGAGGAAAAGCTTATCAGAAAAAGGAATGAGACTCGGCTGGCAGCATTGATGTTTTTATTTGTAGTTGGAAAATGTGGCCTACCAGAGATAGCCTTCCACAAAGCTCTTTTGCTGTGAAATGTCAGCTCAGGGTGTTAATTTTTTTTTCTCCCTAGCCAATATGAATATTAGGTTAAACTTTTCCAGATGATATTTGTAAATATTTCATTTATGTATGACTTTATTTTCTGCTTTCTCCATTTTAACTGTGAAAGATTTAATTGTGTGGGGCATTTGGAGGTGCCATCTTCAAATCACAGGTTAACAATGATTGCGCAACCATCTTAATTGTTGAATAAGCTCCTAATAACATCATGTTTCAAAAAGTCTAATATCACTGTTCTTGTTTTAAAATTTCTACATTAATTTTTTTACAAAGTCTAATTCTATATTAAAAATGATCGCTCTTCAACATTTTAAAACCTATGTAAGGCAATTAAAAAGTAACCATTTTTGTGCAAATACCGTAGATAAGACAGTAGTATAATGTTGAAATATTTATCTCCTTTTTTATCTCCATGACATTTAGTACTTCTATTAAATTTAGTTACATTTAGATTAATAGAATCTGCTTGCATGGTTATAATTTGATGCACAATAAAGACGTATTCTATAGTATTTGACTGTTTACCCTTAATCTGTAATTCTAGA